AGCTGAGGTTTTCAAGAGGGAGTTTAGTTTCTGAGTGTGCAGGGGAAGGTAGAATCCCCACTGTATAGTTTTCATCTTGTCTAGATGGGTCTGGAGAAGGGAGATGGGGGTAAAATTCTTATGATTCAATAGTGAGTAATTGTTATCAGGACTAATTGTGACTATCACAACATTAAAGGTAGAAGTTCTATAACAAAAAAGGGGGAGTAGTTAATCTTACAGTCCAGGAATAGAGGACCTTAGGACCATCAAGGGAGAAGAGCAAGAGCAGAATGTGGGACCCTATCCGGAGAAGCAGCGACACCAGAGAAGGAAGCAGAGATAGGGACATAGAGAGAGAACAGCTGAGGACTCTAGACTTATGGGAAGAGAAAGGCTGTGTGCTGGTGGCCAGGAGGCAGGATTGTAGAATGTGCCCTTGAGTTTTTTTGTGTACTCCATCAAAACAAACAAATAATAGAGGGAATAGAAGCAAATACTGGTGCATGATGATGCAATAAAAGCTTAAAAGCTTTGTGAACTGAGGGACAGCTGACGTGGAAGAACATCGGATCCCTTGCATGTATATACACATACTTACACACAGTTGAGATAGTATGTCAGAATAATCTTTGAGAAAGAGAGGTGTCTGGAAGAATGGATCAGTGGGGAAGGACATGTGTAAAAGTATGTAAACAGCATTGAGGAGTGACAGACATCGGCAGGGACCCTGAAGTATGACTCAGCATAAGAGTGCGGGAGGTTATCCTACTCACCTTAGTCACCTGATAGTACCATTGTGTATGCGTGGGCACGCACAATATCTGGTGTTTATCATGCTGCTTAGAAAATTATAGTGTCTTCATTCTATTTAAGGAGGAAAAAAAGTGTAGTTTAGAACTATTACCATAAAATGCAAATGTGCCTAAAATAGAAGTTTAATACTATTACAGAAATTGTAACTTACATAGTACTTTTTCCCTTACCTATTTAATCTACTCAGCAATATCCCTACAAAATTAGGTGAATATTACCTGTTTTCTACCTGAGGAAAATGAAGCTCATTGAGTTTCAGTAATCTACCTGTAATCCCACATGTAAGCAGAGACTAGAGTTTGACTTAGTAAAATTCTAGGATGCTTGAAAGCCTTCAGTTCCCTAAGCCATTCTTTTAGGTGGGAGCACTCTAACCAGTGATAGTGGATAAATGAGGTGTCATCTTAAATTGTTGTCGAACACCACACCAAGAGTCCGTCGCATACTTTGTTGTTGTTGTTAACTGCCTTCGAGTTGGTTCTGACTCATAGTGACCCTGTGTAGGGTTTCTAAGGAGCAGCTGGTGAATTTGAACTGCCGACCTTGAGGTCCAGTGCATTATCCCATAGCGCTATACCTTGACTCCCTGTGTTATATTGCTCACTGTTTTTAAGCATTGACTTGTCATTTTCTCTTCCACCTGCTCTGAGCATTTAGAGAAAGCGTCATCTTTCTTGTGTGCATTGTAGTCCTTAGCTAGCTCTGGACATGTTGTTGGGTATCACTGAGTTGACTTTGACTTATGCTGACCCCATGTAGTAGAGTAGAACCGCCGTCTCATAAGGCTTTCTGTGCTGTAGGGTGGGTTCACACCGCTAGCCTTCAGTAAGCAACTGTGCACACCATAGAGACTCAAGTTAGGGTCAGCTGGGAGCTCTGTCTGTGGGCCTGAGATTGTCTTGCTCACGTCTGTATCCTCACCTGTGAACACACAGTTGACTCTCAAGTGACCATTGTTGGATTAAACTTCAGAAGGTCATTGGGTGCTTGTCGCGCTGGGATCTACCTTTTATATTAGATTAATATGTGTGTTTAACATTTGCTTTATTTCAGTTTGGACGTCACACTTCATAGTCAGAACAGCGAACACAAGGAAAAACTGATAATGCAGAAGGTGTTGAGCAAGATACCAACAGTGAGAGCTGTGTGTACTCTTCCAAGGGAAGATTGCAGAACTACTCCGGCACATCTTTTACTATGCTTATAGGATCTCATCCTCTGTGATCACTTAATGAAATCTGTACACTGGGAATCAGAGAGCAGGGATCTGCCAAAGACTTGAGTCTTAAGAACACTTGTCTCTGAGTTTGGAAGATAGCTTAGCTGTATGGAGTTTTTTGAGTCTATGTTAATATTATTGAAAGCTAAATACTCACTTGGAATGGTTTTCCTAAGAGCTACATATTAAATGACTTAATATTTCTCAGTCGAGAAGAATAGGGTTTCATAAACTATTTAAGAGGCTTTAAAAATTTTTTTTTTTTTAATCTTAAACATTGTAGTGACCGTGTTTATACTTGGCTTGTGGAGATTGTCAAAGAAGATAAATTTATCATTTCTTGATTAAAATAGTGTTACTTGGACCATATAGGTTGAACCTGTTGAAAATTCTTTCTGTGACAAAAAAGGTTTTTTTTCTAGAAACTGATTTTGCCTGTGAAGAGCTAGAAGTATTTAAAGAATCCTCTTGCCAAATTTTGCCTACACTTGCTATATAAGTATATCTGCCTATCATTATTTTTGTAAATAATAGTTGTTGTGAGGTGCCATTGAGTCAGTACCAACTCATATTGACCTTATGCACAAAGCACTGTTTGGTCCTGCACCAGTCTCACAATTATTGCTGCCACTGTACCATTCCATCTCTTTGGGGTCTTCCTGTTGGTCGATGATTCTCCACTTTACCAAACATGATGTCTTTCTCCAGGGATCATGCTGGTCCCTCCTGATATGTCTCACGTATGAGAGATGAAGTCTGGACATCTTAGCTTTTAAGGAGCATTCTGGTTGTTCTTTTTCCAAAACCAGATTTGTTTGGTCTTTTAGTGGTCCATGGTACTTTTAATATTCTCATCCAACAACATAACTCAAAAGCATCAATTCTTCTATGGTCTTCTTTATTCATTGTCCAACTTTCACATGCATATGCGATTATGGAAAATACCATGGCTTGGGTCAGGAGCACCTTAGTCCTCAAATTGACATCTTTGTTCTTCAACACCTTAAAGAGGTCTAGTGAAGCAGAGTTGTCTAATGCAGTACATTGTTTGATATGTTGATGGTTGATTTGAGCATAATGAAGTCTTTGACAACTTCAATCTTTTCTCCATTTATATGGCTGTTGTTTATTGGTCCAGTGGTAAGGAATTTTGTGTTCTTTACATTGAGGTGCAACCCATACCAAAGGATGTGGTCTTTGATCTTCATCAGTAGGTATCTTAAGTCCTCTTCCCTTTCAGCAAGCAAGGTTGCATCGTCTGCATATCACAGAGTATTAACGAGTCTTCCTCCAATCCTGATGCCATGTTCCTCTTCATATTATCCAGCTTCTTGGATTATTTAATCAGCAAGCAGATAGAACAAATATAGTGAAAGAATACAACCCTGGCGCACACCTTTCCTAATTTTAAACCATTCAATGTTCCCTTGTTCTGTTAAAAAAATTGCCTCTTGGTCTAAGTACAGGTTCCTCATGAGCACAATTAATTGTTTTGGAATGCTCATACTAAACAAATTTGTCCATGTCCAGAAGTGTCATGATCTATGCAACTGAAAGCCTTTGTGTAGTAAATAAAGCACAGCTAAACATCTTTCTGCTATTCTCTGCTTTCAGCTAAGATTTGTCTGTCGTCAGCAATGATATCCCTTGATCCATGTCCTCTTCTGAATCCAGTCTGAACTTGTGGCAGCTCCCTGTCAATGTATTGCTGCAGCCGTTTTTGAATTTATCTTTAGGAAAATTGTACATGTGTGTCAGATTAGTGATATTGTCCAATGATTTCCACATTCCTTTGGGTCACCTCTCTTTGGAGTGGGCACACATAATAGATCCTTCCACTCAGTTGGCCACGTAGCTGTCTTCCAAATTTCTTGGCACAGAGAGTGAGTGTATCCAGAGCTGCATCAGTTTGTTAAAAGATTTCAATTGTATTTCATCAATTCCTGGAGCCTTGTTTTGCCTGTGCCTTCAGTGCACCTTGCACCTTGCCTTTTCATCAAATGCCACCTCTTGAAATAGTTGTGCATCAGCCATTTCCTTTTGGTACAATGACTTAGTATTCCATCTTCTTTTGGTGCTCTCTGCATCATTCAGTATTTTGCCATAGAATCCATCAGTATTGCAAATCGAGACTTGAATTTTTTTCTTCAGCTTGAGAAATGCTGTGTGTGTTCTTTTCTGTTGGTTTTCTAACTCTAGTTCTTTGCACATTTTGTTGTAATATTTAACTTTGTCTTCTTGAGCTGATCTTTGAAATTTTCTGTTCAGCTCTTGTATCTCCTCAGTTTTTCTATTTGCTTTAGCATCTCT